GCGTCAGCCCATATTTCTGCCCCGTACAGGAGCACCGATTGGACCGCTGTCATCAGAAGCTTCCTGCGGCATGGCTTCGGGCCGCCCACGTTTGCCATCAGCCGGCTTAGAGCCGCCGTGCTCTGCGCAGCTTTTTCACATACTCCATGGATGTGTTCCCAGAATGTGAGTTTGCTGTCAAGCTTCACCCCTAGGTATTTTGTAGACCTAGAAGTCGTCACGGGTTGAGGTCCGACCATTATATTTATAATTGTTGGGATCCGTTTCCTGGTGAGGAGCACGATCTCCGTTTTGGCTGTAGCCAATTGCAGACCGTGATCGCTCATCCATCCACTGACGTTGCGCATGACCTGGTTTAGCTTGAGCTGTGCTAGCTGGACATTTCTTGCTGTTATGACGGCTGCCACGTCGTCCGCGAAGGCGACAAGGAAGGCGCTCTCCGGCATTTCCGTGCGCAACAGACTGTCATACGTGGCGTTCCAGAGGTCCGGGCCAAGTACAGACCCCTGTGCCGCTCCGCCGGTTATACGTCTCTTTCTCTGACCTTGTGTTGTGTCGTACAAAAGCCAACGGTCTCTGAGGTAGTCCCGGATCATATCTAGCAAGTATGTTGGAACCTTGAATGACCGTTCCAAGGCCTCCAGCATATCGTCCCATCTTGCCGAGTTGAAGGCGTTCTTGACGTCCAGTGTGACTAGCAGCACTATTGGCCGCGCCTGGTGGCAGGCTTCTTCGGCCTTATGTACCGCCTCGACTACTTCGCCAATTGCTCCTATAGTTGAGTGTCCCTTCCTGAAGCCATGTTGTCGGGGTGAAAGGCCTCCCTCGCTTTCTATGGCTGACGTCAAGCGTATTTTGAGCAGACTCTCCATCATTTTGCCTGCTGTGTCTAGCATGCAGAGTGGCCGAAAGGATGAAGGAGAGTTTGGGTCAAAAATATATTAATCCAGCTGAAATTTCATATTTATTTATTTTTTATGTTTATCCATCAACCCTAAAAATTTTAAACAAATTATACACATGAAGTGTGAACCCCGTCAATTTTGGTATGGAACGCCCCATATACACAAGTTTTCATGCATTACTGCAAGCATTTTCGGTATGTATGTACGCAAGTGCAACATATGCTTGCCGCAACTTCAAGTGGTGTCAAGCTAAATATGTCAATATACATATATGTTTGTACATACATACATAAATAGTTACTCACTAGTTGTTTACAGTGTTGCATTGGCAAAGGTGGCGCAAATTGTTAGTGCTGTTATTGCTCTTATTGCCGCTGTTTTTGGCGTTTTACGCTCTTTTCTTATTACCTTGATTTATGCCATGTTTCATTAATCGTTGCTGTTGTTCGCCAAAAACTTAAATTCCTCCGCCGCCTTTGCTCTAGTTTTGCAACCACTCTTGCGCGGTGTGTTTTGCATTGTATTTTTGCTCGCTTTTGATATCTGGCAAATATATATTGTTGTTATTTATTTTTCATTGAAGCTACTTAGGAAATTTACTTTCCACTATTTAATTGAATTTCCGAAGTTTTCCAATTTGACAAGTAAATTTATTACGACAACAATTTATGCGGGTAGTTTTCAAATGAAAATGCAGGTCTATGTATGTATGTGCAATATATGATAAACGAGTATGTGTTCGTGTATGGATGAATGTGTTTGCGCGAAAATATTTAAGCTTTCATGCCTCGGAAAGATTAGAGAAAGTCTTGTGAAGCGCTGGTTCCGCACTAAGAATTTCGTAGATAATTGTCTTCGAACCTTTTCCAAGAAGGGATGTAGATTAGGGTGGTGCAAAAATGCATGTGAAAAAGTAAAGTCGGAATTTTTATGCTCTCACCCGCTAGGATTCTTCTATACCGAAAAAAATTGGGTATTACTATTAAAACCAATATACATACATACATACATACATACATACATCTGCTTTTGCTTAAGGTTATATTTTTTGTTTTTTTTCTTTCTATCTAGATCTCTACCTCTATCCCTATTCCTTTTAATTACATTTATGTTATTCTGTTTTCCTTTATCTTCATTTTTATCTTTATACTCTATCGATAACAAACTCGATAGTAACATCCCACAAAATATCGATAACAAAACCAATAAAAAAATCGATAACAAAATCGATGACAAATTCGATAAAAATCTCGATAGCAAAATCTATAATAATATTGGTAGAAAACCCGATTAGAAAATCGATAAAAGTATCGATAACAAAATCGACAAAAATATCGATATAAAAATCGGTAGCCAAAATCGTTTAGAAAATCGATCAAAATATCGATAAATAATCGATAACAAAATCCATAAAAATATCGATAGCAAATTCGATAAAAATATCGATAATAAAATCTACAACAATATCGATAACAAAACCAATAACAATATCGACAACAAGAATCAATAACAAAATCGTTAAAAATATCGATTACAAAATCGATGAAAATATACATAACAAAATCGATAAAAATATCGATTATTATATCGATACGTTCCGAACTATCGATAGCAAAAACGATAACAATATCGAAAAAAAAATTTCGACAACAAAAGCGATAAAAATATCGACTATCATATCGATAAGTCCCGAGAATCCCGAAAATCCCAAAATAGTTCACAGATTGAGTCTCTGTGTATCAATCTATATCCATTTCTCTATAATTACTTATATTTTAATCTTTCTTCATCTATCTTCATCTTTACTTTTAATTGGTATCCTCATCGTCATCTTTTTCTTTATATTTATCTTTGTTTTTACTTTTGTGTTTATACTTTTCTGCATCTACATATTACCCCTCACATAAGTAAAGTCTTTAAATTACCATGATCTTCATTTCTGCCTTTATCTTTAGGCATCTTTGTTTTTGTTTTTACTTTTGTCCTTGCCTTTATCCTTTTCTTTCTCTATGTACGTAGTCACCTTTACTTTCATTGTTGTATTGGTCTTTTTCTAAGTGTTATTCTTTAAACTTTTATAAGCAAAATTTTTGTTAAATTAATACCATATACATACCCACAAGAAGTATTTGTTTCAGCCCCAACCATTTCCGTTGCACCATTTCCGTTGCACCATTACCGTGTTCAATTTCCGTTGAATTTGCCAATTTACTCCCAACCAATCAACCGCCGCTAAAGAAGTTTCACTTTAAAAAAATGAAATAATTCAGAGCAAATTTATATACTTAATAGCTGTTGCTACATGTTCTTAATATGTGGGTACAAAAATTAATTTTAAACAAATATTTATTTATTCCTAATTTGATATTAAACTAATTTAATACAAATCTCATATTAAACTTGTAATGGCATTCAACTCTTCTGTTGTTGCATTGTGGTTCACTAAAATTTAATTGCAACAATAAACTTATTACCAAAATTCTACTTTATGTTAAGCACACTGACTGACCACCTGACTATACAAGTATGTAAATACATTTGTATGAGTATAGAAATCTCAAAGGACATAGCAGCTGAGTACATAATAATATAAAGTTAACTTGAGATGACAAGCATCATAGAATATCTACATATTTATGTATACTATACATCACCAATGTGTTTGTATACAGACAGAAACTTTTTGAAGTACACAAAAAATATGAATGCGCCTTTTGTATTGTCATAATATGTTTTTTATTTGAATGTAGTGTTACATAATTTCATTTATTACAAGACATCCTAAAGTCAGATCACATTTTTAAATTTCTACATATAATATCGCCGTGCGACAATAACAAAAAAATTTCAAAACACACGGAATAATCGATATACTCACGAAACTATGGCCCAGATATAGTAATACTGAGTCTTTAATTTTTCATTCTGACGTCATAAAAATTTTTTTAAAAGATTCTCAAATTTTAAAAATATGATTATTAAAAAAAAATTAAAAAAATCAGTGCAATGTAGAACAATAATATGGGTACCAAATGAGAGAGAAACTTCTGTAGAATTTAAAAACAATAAAGTTTTTTAGTTTACATGGACGAGTAGGTATTGAAAATGCGCCTTGAATAAAGTTTATCTTTTTAAGCTAATAAAGTTTGTAAGACGAAATTCGGTGATGAGGTCGTGCGTATATTAGTCATCAAACAATCAATAAAAAAAAAATTGCAAATTTTCAAGGATATTTAAGGACAAAATTTGTAAAGGACCAAAAAAAATATTGTACTATAATTCTACAAAATTTTTTCGATTATATGATATATTTATTTATCCTACATTGCACTGGATTTTTTAAATGATTTTTTTTAAATAATCATAATTTTTAAATTTCAAAGTCCTTTTAAAAAATGTCCTGACATCAGACAAAAAACCTAAGTACGCAGTTTTGTGTGTAAAGTTTACTGTCGCACGGTGTATCTATTCGTCAGTCGGTCATCATCATAACAATGAGAGTTTCCGCTTATTTGGTACGAGTGTGGTACACTTGCTTCTCTTTTTACACGGTTAGTAGCCTAATTAGAAAATTCTACATACAGCAGATTGCGGATGGCCAAGGCAGCGCACCCCTCGAATTGTTTTCCAATTATCTCTATTGGAACAATATTTATATATAGATAAAAAAATCAAAAAATTAAAATGCGCATGTAAGTTTTGTAATATGAAAATATTTCATACTTTACATACCACAATATATTTACTACATAAATGTTTGCTCTTCGCGCACTAAATTCAGCTATAATTTTGTTAAAACTAATCCTTTTCAAACATTATTATTACCCTTTCTGGGTCAACGCCACCACTTGTGGCTACTGAATAAATGAGCAATGAAACCATTTGCAAATTCGCTACTCTGCTAATCGTATAAGTATTATAGTTTTCGCGGTTACGCTTCAATCTATTTTAGTTGTGAGGAGTTCAGGGTCCCCTCGAGGTATCACATAATTTGCTCAGCTATAAATAAATAACATAATTACTCATACGCACCGACCGACATTGCAGTAACTAACTAATTCACCTGATTTGCTTATTCTGCTCTACTCGTTTTAGATGCCAACGTCAGCGAATTACGCGCAACAAATGCGAATTTAATAAACGCTGCGCGGAACGGTGGAGGTTCGACTGACTGAGTGGTGAAACGCGAACCACGCCACTTTACACCACCACCTACACAACACAACGCCGCACTCGACATTTAGGTGCTTTGCACACGCTAACGGCGTACAAACATTTAAATATCAAGCAAACATACAAGTAGCAGAAAATGTTAGTCGGAACAGCGCGCCAGCGGAAAATTTCATTTAATAGTTGTTATAATAGTGGCAGCGGTAGAAGTGGAATTAAAGCCAGAAAGGACGACGACGGCGCTAGCTGTAGTGGAAGCTGCGAAAATGAATACAGCAGCAGCGCATATAGTTATTGCATTGTGCGCTTCAACGCGCTGCCATCGCTCTGCACAATCTTGCTACTGCTGCTTCTTTCCACCGCACAACTGTTGCACTTAGCGCACGCTTATCTGATCATTGTGCATGAGGACGTGCCTGCGGGTGCAGTGGTTTTTAATGCCTCCGTCTACAAGCTCGGCTCGGAGCGACATTATAAAATTAACGCACATAAATCAGCGCACTTTGTACACCATCTGGTCGCCGTCAATCACAAAGATGGTCAAATACAGTTACGCAAGCAACTCAAGTGCGATGGCATCTACTACCCCAACCTATTTACCTTCTATGTGGACTCGACGTCGAATCGGCTGCGCAGCATTGACTACTACAGCCTGCCGGTGCGAATATTTGTAACGGGGCGGGATTGCAATGAAGATCGGCGCATAGAGGAAGAGATGCATAGTAGGCACTATGAGGAGGAAGAAACGGGGTACTCGAAACGCCGCAGACGCTACGTGGACACGATAGCGCACCCCGATTTGCGCTACTTCGGCGCCTATCTAGCGCATCCGAGAAACAATGTGGATCTTTTGCCGGCGAGCAGCGAGTCGGATGTACTCAATCACAACAATAGTCGACATGAGTTTCGTGATGGTGATCTGATATTTGGCGACAATTTCGACAATGAAATGCGTCATCGCATACTCAGCCGCAAGCGTCGCGCGAAGCAACAGCTACAACTCGAACCGTCACTGCACCGCCGCATCTCCGATGCCAAGCAATGGATCTCGGAAACGTACGCCTCCTATGCCATACACACAACGGACAAATGGAATCAAATCTGCTTGCGTCAGTCACAGTTCATCAACAATCTCAATGCCTTCTTGCCAAAGTCCATTTGCCAGTACTGCAAAGTGAACTTTTTGGACGTGAATGACGAACGCTTTGCCATCGAGCATCAAAATCACGATTTGGTGGCGAGTCGTGACGTCTGCATACACGAGTCCATGTGGAAGGTGAGCATAACTTTCAACATACGCTGCACACGCCCGGAAATCGTAGACTCTGATCATCGCCTCAAGATCGTCTATCACTACCAGGAATTCAATGACACCGATATAGCAAAGCGAGTACGCCGCGAGCTGCGTAATCAGTCGCCTTATTTTGAACAGGCACTTTATGTGGCATCAGTGCTGGAAGAGCAGCCGGCCGGTTCGGCTGTGACAACAGTGCGCGCGCGTGACCCCGAAGACTCGCCGGTGGTGTACTCGATGGTATCTTTGCTGGACTCACGTTCGCAGTCGCTCTTTAAGGTAGACTCGCGCACTGGTGTGGTCACGACTTCGGCGAGTTTGGATCGTGAGCTTATGGATGTCCATTATTTTCGTGTGGTTGCGACAGACGATAGTTTTCCGCCACGCTCGGGCACGACGACGCTGCAAGTGAACGTGCTCGACTGCAATGATCATAGTCCGACTTTCGAGGCTGAGCAGTTCGAAGCGAGTATACGCGAAGGTGCGACAGTTGGTTCGACGGTGATCACTTTGCGGGCTACGGATCAGGATATCGGAAAAAATGCGGAGATCGAGTATGGCATAGAGAGTGTGACTGGTAAGTGGAACAATAAAAGCACTGATGCCGTGATTTAAAATAATTTATTGCTCAACATGTTTTCTCTTTTACTAAACACCGATATTCTTGCATGCATTTCAGATGGCTCTGGCACTTTACAGGACCAGGAAATGCCGATATTTCGCATCGATGCACGCTCAGGTGTCATTTCCACCCGCAGCGCACTCGACCGCGAGACCTCGGATAGCTATAATCTCATCGTCACCGCTTCGGACATGGCTTCAGCACAGAGCGAACGCAAAACCGCCACCGCTACAGTAATCGTGAAAATCTTAGACGACAACGACAACTATCCGCAATTCAGCGAGCGCACCTACACAGTGCAAGTGCCCGAGGATCAGTGGGGTGATGATAATGTGGTGGCGCACATTCGCGCCACTGACGCTGACCAGAGCAACAATGCGGCCATACGTTATGCCATTATTGGCGGCAATACGCAATCCCAGTTCTCGATTGATTCCATGAGTGGTGATGTGACTCTTGTCAAGCCGCTGGACTATGAGAGCGTGCGCAGTTATCGTCTGGTGATACGCGCACAGGATGGCGGCAGTCCATCGCGCAGCAACACCACACAGCTTCTGGTGAATGTGATTGATACGAATGATAATGCGCCGCGCTTCTACACCTCACAATTTCAAGAGTCAGTGCTGGAGAATGTGCCAGTAGGCTATAATATAATACGCGTGCAAGCTTATGATGCGGATGAGGGCGCCAATGCGGAGATCATTTACAGCATTTCTGAGCGCGACGACAACTTTCCGCTGGCTGTCGATCCGCGCACTGGCTGGGTGCAGACAATCAAGCAACTAGATCGCGAGGAGCAAAGTCGCTTCACTTTTCAAGTTGTAGCTAAAGATGGTGGCGTGCCGCCCAAGTCAGCGAGCTCGACTGTGGTGATAACGGTTCAAGATGTAAACGACAACGATCCCACATTCAATCCAAAATATTATGAAGCCAATGTGGGTGAGGATCAACCGCCTGGCACGCCTGTGGTAACTGTTACAGCCACTGATCCGGATGAGGACTCACGCCTGCATTACGAACTCACTTCGGGAAATACACGCGGCCGCTTTGCAATTACTTCACAAAATGGGCGTGGTCTTATTACGATTGCGCAATCGCTGGACTACAAGCAAGAGAAACGTTTTGTGCTCACTGTTACAGCCACAGATTCAGGCGGTCGCTCGGACACAGCTACCGTTAATATTAATATCACAGATGCCAATAATTTCGCGCCAATATTCGAGAATGCACCCTACAGCGCATCGGTGTTCGAGGATGCGCCAATTGGTACGACGGTGTTGGTAGTGTCCGCAACCGACAGCGATGTGGGCATCAATGCGCAGATCACTTACTCGCTGAATGAGGAGAGCATAAATGGGCTCGGAAGTCCAGATCCATTCGCAATCAATGCACAAACTGGCGCAATTGTTACAAGTGCACTGTTGGATCGCGAGGCGACTAGTGGCTATCTGCTTACGGTCACCGCAAAGGATGGTGGCAATCCGTCGCTAAGTGATACCACCGATGTAGAGATTAGCGTTACCGACGTGAATGACAATCCACCCGCATTCAAGAATCCACTATACCAGGCATCAATTCTTGAGGATGCACTAGTCGGCACTTCTGTTATACAGGTGTCAGCAACGGACCCCGATATAGGACTGAATGGACGCATCAAGTATCTGCTGAGCGATCGCGATGTAGAGGATGGCTCATTTGTCATCGACCCCACTTCCGGCACAATACGCACCAACAAGGGCTTAGATCGCGAGAGTGTCGCCACTTATCATCTAACCGCCATCGCTGTAGACAAGGGCTCGCCACCACTTTCAAGCACCGTGGAAGTGCAGATACGTTTAGAAGACGTAAACGACTCACCGCCAACATTCTCCTCGGACAAGATAACGCTTTACGTGCCGGAAAACTCGCCCGTGGGCTCCGTAGTTGGCGAAATACATGCACACGATCCGGACGAAGGCGTCAATGCGGTGGTTCACTACTCGATTATTGGTGGCGACGACTCGAATTCCTTTTCATTGGTCACACGTCCGGGTTCGGAGCGCGCGCAGCTGCTGACTATGACCGAGCTGGACTATGAGTCGAATCGCAAGCGTTTCGAATTGGTCATACGCGCGGCTAGCCCGCCGTTGCGCAATGACGCGCATGTGGAGATTTTGGTCACCGATGTCAACGACAATGCACCGGTATTGCGTGACTTCCAAGTAATCTTCAACAACTTCCGCGATCACTTTCCAAGTGGAGAGATCGGCAGAATACCTGCATCGGATGCTGACGTCACTGACAAACTAACATATCGCATACTCTCCGGCAACAATGCGAATCTGATACGATTGAATACAACTTCAGGTGGTTTAGTACTTAGCCCGCAATTGAATACAAATGTCCCCAAATTCGCAACGATGGAAGTTTCCGTCTCGGATGGCATCAATGAAGCAAAGGCCATAATGCAGCTTTCGGTACGCTTGATCACAGAAGATATGTTGTTCAATTCTGTTACAGTGCGTTTGAATGAAATGACCGAGGAGGCATTCCTGTCGCCGCTGCTTAACTTTTTTCTCGATGGCCTGGCAGCGATTATTCCTTGCCCCAAGGAAAATATCTTCATCTTTTCCATACAAGACGACACCGATGTCACGTCGCGCATCTTGAATGTGAGCTTCTCCGCTAAACGGCCAGATGTTTCGCACGAGGAATTCTACACGCCACAATATCTGCAGGAGCGCGTCTACTTAAATCGTGCCATACTAGCGCGTCTCGCCACAGTTGAGGTGCTGCCCTTTGACGACAACCTTTGCGTGCGGGAGCCTTGTCTCAATTTCGAAGAGTGCCTCACCGTGCTCAAGTTCGGTAATGCCTCAGAGTTCATACACAGCGACACTGTACTCTTCCGCCCTATCTATCCGGTAAATACTTTTGCGTGTTCGTGTCCCGAAGGCTTCACGGGTAGCAAGGAGCATTATTTGTGCGACACAGAGGTGGACCTTTGCTATTCGGACCCTTGCCGCAACGGCGGTACATGCGTGCGTCGCGAAGGCGGCTACACCTGCACTTGTTCGCCGAAGCATACGGGCGTTAACTGTGAAACGGAGATATCAACGCTGAAGCCCTGCATGTCGGATGCCTGTGACGGCGGTTATTCCTGCATGAATTCCTTTCTAAGCTCACAACCGCCACCGTACACAGCGACGTGTGAGCTGCGCTCACGTTCGTTCTCCAAAAACTCCTTCCTTACCTTCGAGAGCCTCAAACAGCGACATAGATTCAACCTGAAATTACGGTTTTCGACTGTGCACGATAACGGTTTACTGCTATACAATGGGCGTTACAATGAGCTGCACGACTTCATTGCACTTGAAATACTCGAGGGTCATTTGAGCTTCTCATACTCGCTGGGCGATAGTAAACAAAGTGTCTCGGTCGTGCAACAGGCGAAGGTCTCCGATGGCGAATGGCACGATGTTGAGGTGATATATCTGAATCGGACAGTGACACTTGTACTGGACAAGTGCGACACAGCAATAGCGCTGGCCGGAAATTTAGGCGATCGATGGAGCTGCGCCAATCAAACGACCCTAAAGCTAGACAAACGTTGCGCGCTGCTCACCGAAACCTGTCACCGCTTTTTGGACTTGACAGGTCCGCTACAATTGGGTGGCTTACCACGCATACCCGCACACTTCCCCGTGGAGAACCAAGATTTCATTGGATGCTTATCTGACCTGCGCATCGACGATCGCTACATTGATCTCAACTCGTATGTAGCCGATAATGGCACCATCTCCGGTTGTCCGCAAAAGTCACCACTCTGCTCGTCGGAACCTTGTTTTAATGGAGGAGTTTGCCGTGAAGGCTGGAACACTTACACTTGCGAGTGCCCTGAAGGCTATGCAGGCAATGCATGCCAGGAGACCATACCCGCACCATGGCGCTTCTCCGGCGATGGCAGCCTTAGCTTCAATCCATTGTTGAGGCCGATACAACTACCCTGGGTCACCTCACTATCCATGCGTACTTTACAGCTGGACGCGTTTCTGCTACAGATACAAATTGGGCAAAATAGCTCTGCGGTACTTTGTCTGAAGAACGGCATACTCTATTACATATATGAAAACGAACCAATGTACTTAGCTGGCGCTTATCTCTCCGACGGCAACTGGCATCGTATCGAGGTTAAATGGCTTAATTCGGAAATACAGTTCTCCGTAGACTACGGGCAACGCAGCGGCGTTGTGCCGATGTCACAGAAAGTACAAGGGCTCTACGTTGGAAAGATTGTCATCGGTAGCGCTGACGGTTCAATTGGGGCGGTTTTCGATATGCTACCCTTCGAAGGCTGCATTCAAAGTGTGCGCATTGGCGCCTCTCAATCTGTGTTGTCGCGTCCAACGATACGCGAAAATGTCGAAGACGGCTGCATGTCGCGTGCAGAATGTCCGGAAACTTGTCCACCGCATTCCACATGCGCGACTACTTGGGACGAAGCGCGTTGTGAGTGCTTACCTGGTTACGTTGGGCCCGAGTGTCTGCCTATATGCACCGTCAAACCCTGCGTGGCTGGTGTGTGCCGCGCGAACGTCAGCGAACCACGCGGCTACAAATGCGAATGCAACAGTTCCTTGCAGCATGGTGAATATTGTGAGAAGACGGTGCAGCAGCCCTGCCCCGGCGGCTGGTGGGGCGAGAAGGTATGTGGACCATGCAAGTGTAACCTGAAGCAGGGATACCATCCGGACTGCAATAAGACCACCGGCCAGTGTTATTGCAAGACAAACCACTACCAGCCACCAAATGAGACAGCTTGCATACCTTGCGACTGCTACTCGATAGGCTCATTCAGCGGCGCTTGCAATCCACTGACAGGTCAGTGTGAGTGTCGCGAGGGTGTGATAGGACGCCGCTGTGACTCGTGCTCAAATCCGTATGCGGAAGTTACACTAAATGGCTGCGAAGTCGTTTATGATGCCTGCCCGCGCTCATTTGCCGCGGGTATTTGGTGGCCACGTACTCCGCTCGGCAGCACGACTGTGGAAAATTGTCCTTCACCGGCCAGAGGCAAGGGACAACGCAACTGCGACGCCATGTCGGGTGGTTGGAATCAAGCGGATATGTTTAATTGCACTTCAGATCCATTTGTTGAGCTGCGCAAACAACTTTCGCAATTGGAGAAGCTTGAACTGGAACTCAACTCATTTGTTGCCATTAAAATGGTGGAAAACTTGCAGCAAGCATGCGAGACTGTAGATCGCTCGAGCGCTGTGAAAAAGAAAATTGTAAAGGATAGTCGGCGTTACAAAATGGAGTCCTCCTTTCTGCTGAATGAAGGCAGCAATATGTGGTCTAATGAACTGGAAATGGACTATCTTTCCGATGAGCTAAAGTTTACACACGACCGCCTATATGGCGCTGATCTTCTAGTTACTGAAGGCATCCTACAGGAGTTGATCAACTACGAGCTAATGCAGAACGGCCTGAATCTGACACATAGCCAAGACAAGTATTTCATTAAGAATCTAGTGGATGCCGCAAGCGTCATATTGGACCGTAAATATGCGAGCGAGTGGAAACGTGCAACCGAGTTGATACAGCGTGGACCTGACGATCTTGTGGATGCATTCAATAAGTATATGGTAGTGCTAGCCAGCTCACAGCATGACACATATACCAATCCTTTCGAGATAGTGCAGCGCAACATGGTTTTTGCTTTGGATATAATTACAACTGAATCCCTTTTTGGCTATGAACCCGAACAGCTTAGTGAATACCACAAAACAAAACTCAATCTGAAACCGAATGCGTACACAACTGAAAGCGTGATTTTGCCCGACACGAGCGGTTTCCTGCAGCACTCCTCGAAGCAGAAGCCAGTGATTACCTTCCCCAAGTACAACAATTACATACAGGATAAAACGAAATTCGATAAGTACACTAAAGTGTTGATTCCGCTGGAAATGTTGGGTATAACACCGCCCGGCAGCAATGAAGTCACACAGAATGCCATCGATTACCGCGCCATCGTTTCCTATGCGCAGTACAAAGATGTGGGGCAACTACTGCCAGACCTGTACGACGAGACCATCACACGTCGCTGGGGTGTCGACGTCGAAGTGGCCTCGCCTATACTCTCACTCGCCATTTTAGTACCATCCAGCGATACCGAAGAGAAACGCATAGAGATACCTTTCCGAAAAATCTCATCTCAAAAGACTGGCTCCAACGAACAGCAGTTCATCGAGGTATTCGATGTGCCGAAAACGAGCAGCAGTGGCAGCGAGGAGCACATGATTGAGAACATACGCATCACAGCGCATGAAATACTACCACCAGCTGCGACGAATTCACATGAAGCAAGCGCCGAAGTGACAAGCAACGAAGCTGTAGAGGTCGCAGACGACGAAGAGCCACACATTAGCGTGCGCTTCGACGATGACAACATCGAATTCCACGGTGACACCGGCGAGGAAGTAGTCGATTCACCTGAGTTGACAAATCCACATTTCGAAGCTGGTTCAAGCGAACAGCAAAAAGGTGAGAACGAAGCAATCTACCGCAGTCGCAGACTGGTCAAGCGCCAGGTAGAAGTCATCTACCCATCCGAACAGCAACAAACACAACAGCGCGTCATCTATCGTTCGCTGGGCTCTCCACATCTCTCACAGCCCATCAAGCTGCAAATGTGGCTGGACATTGATCCAGCGCGCTTTAGTCCACGCTCAAATCCACAATGCGTGCGTTGGAACTCATTCACCAGCCAATGGACCCGACTGGGTTGTCAAACCGAGGTGCCCGACTTCAATGAGCTGCCAGTCGATGGACAACCCATCATCGTTAACTGTTCCTGCACGCACGTTTCGAATTACGCCGTAATTGTGGACATCATTGACCCCGAAGATATACCTGAGCCTTCTTTATTGGTGCAAATCACATCCTACTCCGCATTTATGGTCTCACTGCCGGTGCTGCTGAGCGTACTCATTGCTTTGGCGCTGCTGCGTGGTCAACAAACCAATTCGAATACCATACACCAGAATATCGTGCTGTGCGTGTTCTGCGCCGAGTTGCTTTTCTTCGTTGGCATGCAGTCACGTCGCAATTTGCTTGAAAATGAATTCCCCTGCAAGCTTATAGCGATTTGCTTGCATTACTTCTGGCTGGCCGCATTCGCTTGGACGACCGTCGACTGTGTGCACCTGTATCGCATGCTTACCGAGATGCGTGACATCAACCATGGACCAATGGGATTCTACTTTGCCATGGGCTATGGTGCACCAGCCATTGTGGTCGGACTTTCGGTGGGCGTGCGGGCGCATGAGTATGGAAATAGTTTGTTGTGAGTATTTTATTTATGCGTGTATGTGTGTAGGTGTGCGCTTGTGGTATTTGTGTATTGAACCTTATTGAATTGGTTTATATGCTTTGCATTTCTAATTCATTTTTTGTTTCTCCTACATACATATATATATATATGTATGTATGTTTCTTCAATAGCTGTTGGCTTTCCGTATACGAGCCGGTCGTGTGGTGGCTGGTCGGTCCCATTGCGGGTATGTCGGTGGTGAATCTACTAATACTGTTTGTATCTGTGAAAGCTGCATTCACGCTTAAAGATCACGTACTCGGTTTTGGCAATCTACGCACGTTACTTTGGTTATCTGTCGTCTCGCTGCCCATGATGGGCGTCATGTGGGTGTTGGCTGTGTTGGCTGCTTCCGAGAATTCGCAGATGCTGAGCATCCTCTTGTCCGGTGTGGTAGTGCTGCATTCCATTTTCTGTCTCATTGGCTATTGTATTATAAACAAGCGCGTGAGGGAAAATTTGCAACGCACCTTCTTGCGTTGTATGGGACGGAAAGTGCCATTGTTAGATTCTTCGCTAGTTGTGAGCAATAGTTCACATAATGTGAATGGGGCGACGAGACCGAACAATTTCCTAGCGGGTAGCTACGATACTGCGCGAAGGAATGTGGGCATCAGTGTCTCGAGCACGACCTCCAGGAGTACGGCGAAAACAAGCTCAAGTCCATATAGGTGAGTGTTGAAAGTACCGAAGAGTAATTGAGGTGTTATTGAAACTCTAAAATGGATCCAAAATCCAATACTCTTCATTGTAAAAATATTTTATACTCTCACCCTCGGTCAGCCATTTCCTCCGGTTACTGCTGACTGCCTATCGAACGCAACTTTTATTTCATTCAAATATCTCGCTTTTTTCTCTCCTCACTTCTTTCCAGTGATGGCCAGCTACGCCAGACCTCTACATCTACCTCGAACTACAACTCGGCCAGCGATGCACCCAGCTTTCTGCGCGGCTTCGAATCCTCTACCGGCGGCGGTGGTGGCGGTGCTGGACGCCGTGAAGAAAAATCTCGTCGTCATCGCAAAGACTCCGATTCAGGCTCCGAAACCGATGGCCGCTCATTAGAACTCGCTTCTAGCCACTCAAGCGATGATGATGAATCACGCACCGCGCGATCCTCGGGCACGCATCGCAGCACCGGTGTCAGCGCTACCCCCTCATACCTGCCCAACATTACCGAGCATGTGCAAGCAACTACGCCGCCCGAGTTAAATGTCGTACAAAGTCCACAGCTCTTCCCAAGCGTCAATAAACCTGTCTACGCGCCGCGTTGGTCGAGTCAATTGCCTGACGCTTACCTACAGTCGCCGCCGAATGTGGGACGCTGGTCACAGGAAACTGGTTCCGACAATGAGCATGTGCACGGCCAAAAAGTTACCATCTCACCAAACCCACTGCCAAATCCAGATCTCACGGACACCTCCTACCTGCAACAGCATCATAACAAAATCAACATGCCTCCATCGATATTGGAAAATCTGCAAAACGTGCGTAATGATAATGGCTATGAGGCACACGAACGCGACAGTATTTACCGCCGCAAGGACTACCCGGATAGTTATGGACAATTCGACACACTACCCGTCGCGGGTAACTACAAGCCACCCAGCCACTATGGCAGTGAGAAGGAGTATAATGGCGGCGGCAGTGGTGGTGGTGGTAGTGGCAGCGGCAGTGGTAGTGGTAGCGCTGGCGGCGGCAATGGTGGCACACAAATCGTCAACCACATGCGCTCCTTCCACCCGGATGCGGCTTATCTCAGCGATAGCATTTATGACAAACAACGCACACTGGGCTATATGGGCCCCAAAGCGGACTCGCCGTATATGTCCAAAGAGCGCATTGCGCCCGATATTTATGGCTCACGCGAAAATCACTACAGCCTTAAGAAGCCGCATATGTATGTCGGCGCTGCAGACTCAATGCATTCAGTGCATTCATTACTTAAGAACGACTATCAGGCGCAGCAGCAGCGTCAACAACACCTACAGCAGCAGCATCACCACCAGCAACAACACCAACAACAACATCAACCCAATTCGGCCGACTATCACTCGGATCGCATGTCAGAGGGTTCGGACAAGAATGGCTATCATTTCCCCTACACCGCGGAGGAGGATCACATAACGAGCAATCGCAAGCTTAGTCATCAACACAATCCATCACCGTCGCTGCACAGCTCGCATCAAATGCTTAACGGGCATGCGCATGGACATACGGTGAATGATATGAATAATCCTGGTATGCTGGGGCGGCATACACTGAATTCGAGTTCGCGACATAGTTCGCGCGCCAGTTCGCCTCCTTCGAGCATTGTGGCGCCCATGCAGCCGTTGGCGCCGCTCACAAGCATCACGGATACAGAGTGAGTAATCATTGGGGTGTGGGGCACAATATTAATGTATAGGCACTTTAGTTACTCGTTACTGGTTACTGGGTGTTATATTTGTTAAATAGTAGTAATTTATTTGGCTTTCTTTTGGTCACACAAATCGCAAGGGCAAGTGAAACGATTTTTAATCGAAGTACAAAAAAACTGTTATTATCAAATGGCAATTAAATTTTACACAGGGAAATTGCTTGATTGCAGTTACTATTTATTGAAATCCGAGAGATAATGTGGAATGAAAAATGCGCAGCACAATTAATTATTGAGCAATAAAATTTAATTTAAAGCAATAAAAAAACGCTTAAAAGTAAAAATCTGCATACATACCCACATATTATTAGTGTGGGTCGTATTTTGGGCATGGTCGGTTTCTATAGATAATTCTAAGAGAAAATGAAGAAGAAACTATCAGTCGGAAATAAAATAATAGGATAAGAAAAATTAACTTTTTCGTTATATGCCAGTATTAAAAAGTGTCCACCTTTTTTTACAACTAATGGATACAAAATTCCTATATTTTAGTTTATAAAATTTTTAATTGATTTGCCTTGTCGCGTGAAAATTTTAAATACACCACATATTGACAAGTTTTAACAGTACATATATTTTTCGATTTAATTTTTGTATTTTGTCTTATAAAAATATAGTTCATTCTTTAACAGAAACCGATAAAATTCAAGTTTCAAGCTTTGTGCAATATTAAAAAAATCAAAAAACTTTGGAAAATATTTCAATCTTTTTAATTGAATTTCTTAGAAATATATTGAGTGGACATTTTCTTGGACCATTCAATTTTAGTGAAATTAAGTGCGAATAGCTGAGACTTGCCGTTAATTTTTAGCAATTTTTTTCTAAGGGTGTCAGGCATTTTCTCCCATACAAAGTCGATCTTTTTATAAATATATATATATATATATAGAAATTAGCAACCCTTTCAATTTGCCTATATGGTACGTATAATTGTGAAACGTCATATATTTTTGTATATTAGCTGTAATAAAAGGTGAACAATTTGTTAAACTGGCATAGAAAGAAAAAATTAGATTTTGTGAAAATGTAAATTTTTCTTTCAAAAATGCGCAAGCTAGAAACTCATTTCCAACCCATGGTTTCTTCTACACTCTCCCTTAGAAGAATTATCTGCAGAATCAGAAAATTCCATGCGATTTAGTAAAAAAAAATGTACCCAGCCTAATGTAAATATAAATTCAAAGTGGTTGTAGCATGAAAACAAATAACCCAATAAAAGCAATAAGTAATAAATTTAATCCTTAGTGATGACTAAGCTCAAAAATTACTTATATCTTGAACACTATTTGCGCAAAGTTATTTGTAAAACTTAGCCGAAGCAGATGAAGACAAATACGTTTACGACATCAATAACTGAACCATTCCCTTGAAAATAACGAAAATCATAGCCGTAACCAATGCCATACTACAACCTTCACTTTAATCATAAAAAATAACCTTAACCACAACCATAACCATAAACAACAACCTTAACCATAACCACAATCATAGCCTTGGCATAACCATAACCATAACCATAGCCAAATCTTTAACCATAGCTCTTACCTTTATCGTAACCATAAACATGACATGATCTTAACAATAACCATAATTATAAATATAACCATAGTCATATCCTTAACCATAACCATTAACATAATCATAAGCATAACCAATCCTATAACAATAATCATAATGATAATAAATTCAACCGCCAGATAGCAAGATACTCCTTTCATTATTTCAAACCAACTTTACCCAGCTTACTGCCTCGAGAATTCTCAGAAGCCAACTTAAACTTTATTTTTGAATAAATTGTTCGATCAAGTTATTTTTCATATGTGCTTCTTGGAAGATACTTTTCTCAGAAGATTTTTTAATTGTGATAATATTTGAAAGGAAAAGGAAGCGTTCAGTTTGCTCACGATGAAACACGTTGGTGGCTGGTGGCCTATTGTGATACCATTTTGATTCGTAGTTGCGGGTGAACTCGATACCCACGATATCCTCATCATCCCATTTGTTAAAAGGCTAATTATTTTGCTGACATGGGTCTTCGTTCCTTTAAAACGAGGGTTCTGGATGTTTCTTTATTCAGCCTGGGCTAGATTTGATGAGGTGCAAGAGAAGTTAAATAAAGGAGCTATGCCATTAACCATACTTAGTTTCCAACGCCGCGAGCCAAGCGAGTTACTGAGACGGCTAATACATACCAGAGTTGTGAAAAATGCATACATTCCTTAATGCATAGCATTTTAATGTTAATTTAAAAAATGCATTAAGTTTTGAAATTTAATGTAAATGAAAATTTCAATGCATTAATTCCGAGGAAATAGTGCTAATGATTTATTTTTTTTGCATTAACATTAAAATTTTTAAATGAATGCTATTGCAATAATTTACTGCATTAAAACTATAACAAGCATTAAAAACACATTTATTTTATTTTGAAGTGAAAATTCTTTGTTGACGTTGAGGGTAGAATTTTGAGGTCAAAAAAGAAAGTGGCGGAAGTTAAGGCTGGTTTTCACTGTGTCAGAGTCAATGGAATTTGTCGTCAAATATTGAAATCGCTTATTGATTGATTTAGATCAGAATAGGTCTTCAGTCGTGTACATGTGCTGCTAAATTGGCTATCTGTCCGTTTTTGGCCCATAATATAATCGACATAAAAACCTACAAAAGCACACTGAATTGCAAGCACATTGCTTTTATTTTAATAAAATATCCAACAATATTTACAAGCATTTTCCTAGAAATAAACACAAAAGAATGAAGCTGAAAAAAAACTATTAATAACACTTAATAACAAAAATGTTCCATAGATGCCACTATACAGTTCCTATGTACAATTGCTCGGTGATTCATAGAAAAAAAATTAACTCGATTTTTGGAATCAGCGAACGATTTTACATACTAATTCGATAGTGTCGTCTGGAGAACAAAAAACAAAATTAAAATTCGTGATCCAGTGTAATTATTCGAAGTCCTTCCAAAAGAGGTTATTTATACATCACTAGAAAAAAAATTTAATGGTTTTTAAAAATGCAAACGAGCAAAATTACTAAAAACTTTAATGCATTAAAATTTATTCGTTAGCATTAGTTTGGATAATTTAATAAAAATAAATTTGATTAACTTAATATTTTTCAGAATTAATGAATTGCAATTTTTATTTACTTTAAATTTCAAGAATTAATGCATACATTTTTTACATTAACATTATTGCTTTAAGTACCATAAATGCATTAAATATAACTAATAAATTTAAACTTCGTGAAAGTGGGACAAAAAACTCACCTAAATATTTTGTATTGGGTATAAAATTATATAATTGGCAATTTGGCAAAAAAAAATTCTTAATAATAATAAGCTGCCTTCATTATTTAAAATTTTATTTTTTATTATGAAGCATTAATCCTCGCGTACATTCGTGGTGCGTTAACTTTTAATGCTGTTAATTGTTTTGTCTTCTGTAAGGAGAAAAAAATCGTTTCACTTCTTGCCTTTGCTAAAAAAATTCACGCTTCAAATTAAAGTTATAAAATATATAATCCTCTTACCTATGCAAATAAATATATTTACTTATATCAATTATGCTATCGGTGTCTATTTAACAAACTAAATAAATAGCTATTTGAAAAATAATTGCAACATCATCAATTAAAGCGCAAAGATAAATCATGTCCTCCACATTCAAAAAAAAAAAACTCCTTTAATTAATACAAATAATTTTTCATTCTATTTTCTCTCCTTTTTCCAAAACACACACAAAAAACAAAAAAAATCATACCAAATCACATAACGCAACAACAAACGATTTTGACCATAAAACAAAAAAATACAAAAATAATACGAAACAAACCAAACTTACAAATTGTTGAAAATTTTCAAAAAAAAACGCATTTATAACTTACATGTCTGAAAAAATTTAAATGTGATCCTCATTAAACTTTCAACAACTTTATGCTAATCAAAATTATTGTCTAAAAAAATACTAAAAATATTTGCGCTCAACTTTTCATTTGAAAAAAATTGGCCATTAATCCTCTACAAATACACACACACACTAACGTACTGACGTAAACGTTTACAATTTTTTTTTATCGCACCAAATGCATTTGCATTGTATGCTCATTTGCTTTGCAAACCCCAACCATTCAAACCAAATACACCAACAACAACCTTTGCCAAAATCACAACTACACCACACTTCCAAACATATTTAATTATGCTACCCACCAAAATACCGAAAACCAAACAAAAACACAAAACTATTAAACTCAACAAAAAAAAAAAACAAAAACAACCTCAAAAACATAAACAAATTTGCACTACAAATTTTAAAATGACCGCAGGTGGTCATGGGAACGCCTAAAGAAAATCTAATTACAACTTTCTTTATTTTCCGCTCACAATAAATTCAAATATGGCAAAATGCAAATTGTGCAATGAATTGCAAATATGGCGGCGAACAAAACCAAACTAAAAATAAAACATACAAACAAATACACACACACAAATAAAACTGAAAACATATCTGTTGGAAATTGCGTTGCAATGCGCAAATATACATATAACGGCCATAATACGAATGCAACAACAACAATGGTCATACATATTTGCATACATATGTATGTTCACACTGCATATGTTATCTACCAACAAATAATTGTGAAAAATTTGAAAAAAATATCACAAAAATATGCAAAAATATTGAATTGCATGGAATTGCATTTGATGCGCGAAATTTGAATATACTTCTACACTATTTACCATAAAATGACTAATGGGAATAAAACAACAATAACAACAACAAACTGGCTATGCAACAAAAATAATGCGCATTTGCCATAAATGATCAACTCTGCTCTGAAATGGAAAATTTGCATTCGAATATTCAACCGCAACTGCATGCCATTTTCGCAACAAACAACCACTACAAAAACAACGAATGCGTATTCAATTATATGCCGGCAAATAAAAAATTCAAAAAAACAAAACTCGGCTGTTCTTACACTCACGCGAACACATACAAACACATTAACTCGCTCAACAACAATTTCTACCAACTCACATAACGGACCACCCCCATACGTTCGGATGCCCGAGCAAACTCAACTAACAATACTAATATTATCTAATGAAATTTAATAAAAATGTTTACTATTATTTCCAACAACAACAACCAACAACAAATCTACAAATACATTCACTCGCTCAACTACAATTAAACTAAACTATCGTACTACTCCTGTATGTACTCTCTACATTTTCATTCATCCACAACAACAACAATGCAGTTCAGAGGTAAAACAAATCATTATTCATATTCTAATAACATTAACAATTACATTTATCTAAATATATTTTATTAAATTCAAAATCATTTTCATAACTACTTAACTAATTGTAAATACAAACTGCAAAAATGTAAATATCCAATTTTTTTTTGTTTTATTTTATTAAATAATTGCAAATTGCGTATTGATTTTGTAAATACACTTTGGTTGTTGTACTTGGTTTTGTTGTTTTCTGGAATGGTTTTTAATTTTGGCTTTTGTTTTTTCTTTCTTTTTTTTTTTGAGTATATTTCCTTGTAGATTTTGAGTTTTTTGAAAGCCAACAACGCACCTTTAATATAATATTTTTAATGTATACATTATTTCAAAAATTTTATTTTAAGTACTAACGTTCGATTTAGGTCTGCAAGAGGTGTATGAAAATATTTATTTATTAAGTGAAAAACGGTAAGGAAGAGAACAGAATTTTTACCACTATAGACTTTACGCCAAGCAAAAATAATCTGCGAGAAGGGCAATGCGCTCCGTAAAACAAATACCAATCAGTCATCGCACTTGGTATCAAACTATTATTATTATTATGAGCCTTGAGCACTGCTCAAAATTAATACGGAAAGAATTTTCATTAAGGAAACTCTGGACTCAGTTGATCCATAAGATTTTAAGATCGCTGATCATGATCCCGGTATCTATATATATGACCACATCGATATCAATTGACGGTCTTCATTTTTTTCGCACGATATCGTTTTTTTTTACCACAGATAACCTGTGTGAATGAGCTGATGATCTCGAAACAACGACAAGCGCTCACTTTACCTAAAAGATCAAAACTTATCTAGACGTGAAATTTCCTTTTCGGATTCAAAAAAATTATATCTTACGAGTTGAGACGATTTATCTTCTCTTTGACTCTGATTTTGGCGTCCATATGATTCCAGGACACCAAAATCATGATCAACGACCTCCAACTCAAATTTCGATTCAAGTACCATACGTTCGCTGTAGTGTTTTCCTAGGCTCACTTACAGCTTTCTCGAAGCTTGTTCGGAATGCCTTAATTCACTTTCGGTCGCGTGGAAATATAACCTTCTCAAACTTGTATGGGTAACCAGGCCATAGTGATATCGCAGGAAACTGTGTGGTTGATGAACTGGCTAGAAGCGGCATCCTCGAGGTAACAGAGGTCAAGAAAGGAGCTGGTAGAAGTTCGCTTGACTCTTCGAAAGATAGACCACGGACCAACTTTGAGGCCGCGGAGTGGGAAACCTGGGCGTTGTGCTACTTCCAGGTCATTCTGGCCGGAGGTGACCCGAAGACAGTCTAGAGACCTCCTACGGCTAACGGAGCCGTACCTCTCTATTCTGGTGGGATTCTGACAGACAACTGTCCTATTCGTCTTCCCGCAATGACATTAAATAACACACCAGAACCATTTTGTTTCAGCTGCATGGAGGACGGCGAAGTGGAATCAGAAAAACATCTGCCACCTGAGAAACTGCATTCTAGGCATACAACAATTCTCGTGTTAGCCGAGCAGTTACCGTTCTCAGTGGTTCACAAAGAACTAACGCTTACGGTCTAAGTGAGCCTCCCGACAAGGGGCAACCACCTTAACCTAACCTAAGCTACGTTCGTTGTCGAATGCAGTGATTTGGGTCCTGATTTGTATTCCACAATGCTTCACTTTTCACACTACAGGTGGCAACTCTCTAATTTTTCCTTTCTATATTTTAAGTTATGTGAAAATTATATTAAATGCCATGCATTAGTTTTCGAGTGATGCGCGTACAAACATACGGACAGACAGACCGACAGACAAAAGTTCAAAAAATTGTTGATTTGGCTTCTGTTGCTCTGCCTCTGTGTAGGTAATGTACAGACATTGGCCAGCTACAATCATATTATATCTATAGATGTTTTCCTGAGGGATATCAAACGGTAACTCTCGATTACGCAATATAATTTAAATTCTTTTTAAGCAGTTTTATTAAGATTTTAAAGTTATCAAGATCATGATTTTTTTTTTACTTTATTTATTGAAAATATAATTTTCTAAGCTTGAAAATTCTTATGCTCCCTTTCTACATACATCCCACATTTATTATTTCCTTTGCACATTTAACACCAACAAAAAAATCAGAGTTACAAGAACCACATTTTCAATACAAAAAACCATACATATAATTCAGTAGGAAACAAAACTTAATTTAAATTATCCATGTCATAAACATTTGCAGTTGGACATTATATGGCTGCATCGCTGGCGGCGCCGATATCCCTGGTCTCTGACAATCTGGTACTCGTAGTTAAAAGGAGACAAATTTTGAAAATTTTCAAACACACTTACTGCTAGTAATTATTTAGTAATTCACGCACATTTCGTAAATTTTCTTAAAAAGCTATATGAAATAATTTTTGCACCAAAAACTATGAACTAATTAACTAAAATAGTAGCCTAATGCGCTAAATAAAGAAAAGTGTAAAATGTAACGACAAATAGTTTAATTTAAATACAAAGTAGTTCCAAATAAACTAAAGAAACAGAAACTTTTTATATAAAAAAAAATACAATAACCCCCTTAACCACTTACAGTTAATTTTTATACTCCTTACGCAATTCTGTTTGATAGTTTAGAATATCAAGTTAAATATTATAAATAACTTAAATTGCATTTTTCTGGAGCCGATAAGCAAAAACACAATTTGTTCATTGCTTCAATTCGCTGACTATTTTTGGCCGAGAGTAAGAGAGAACTAACAGTATTACGTTAAATTAGATTAAGTTGAAATGCCTGCTGAGCTTAGGCGCCCATTGTGATACCTCATGGATTTAAAATCCCAACTTTTTAAACCAGTCTACAAATCTTAACAGTTGCCGTAATCTAAAATTTCCAGGAATTTTTTTCTTTTCCTGCATATAGTGCAAAGTAAGTGCCTGGTGAATTAGGGCTCTCCTTCGTCATAGCAGCTTCTTCAGTAGTCATTGGGCGCGTTCATAAGACGTAGCTGTTGTCTAACCGTTGACTATTTGTCTTAGAAATGCACAGTTGAGTAGTTCCACCCAACATTCAGTGACAGATTTAAGTTTCATAAGGCCTGTCTGAGTATATACAACAGCAAATTGTATGGCGCTTTCTTTTCTACAAAACATGTTGCCTTTTCATTGCCCTTTCCTAAGTATTTGTGCGTAGAGAGCACTGAGGAGGCAACATTTTTAGATAGAAAACGCCATTCGGCTTTTTGTATGATGCCTAATTCGGCTTGATATGCACTGCAATGATCAGTTGCGCGGAAGGAGAGTTGAATTCTCAATTGTTGTGTAATGGCATCAGCACACGCCGGAATTCCTTAGACCCACGATTCTTTGCTAGGTATAGCTATGCTATATCCCTTACTAAAAGTGAACATTGGTACATAGTAAACAGTCCGTTGTGCTCGGTAATTGCAGGTTGATAGGAATTGTAGTGTGACCGCGTTCCAGTTTCTAAGCTCCTGAAGTCTTAGAGCTTCATTTGCAGCAAAAGGCATTCCCATAAAATCTATGGGTCGGATGTTTAGAATCGTATTCATTGCTTCAGTAGTTGTTATGCAGAGAGCACCACTAATCTACATATATCAGATATGCACTCTGCACATTTTGCTCCTCGGCACCTTTTCTTCGGCCTTCTGCACCTTATCTTCGGTGTTATCCAGCTAAATTTTTTATCAAGGACTATACCCAAATATTTCGCAAATTCCTTTTAATGTGGTCTGCGCCAGCCTCGGCTATTTTAGTGGAGCAAACTTGTACTTTCTGGTGAACAGTACAAGTTTTGTATTTTTTTGGGTTAACTCCTAAACCGTTATTTTTATACCCGAGCGCACTTGTGCACAAGGGTATATTAATTTTGTTCACATAACGGTTGTTTGTAACAGGCAAAACGAATCGAGATAGATATAGACAAATGTATACATAAATGATCAGAATGAAAAGAGAAATCGATTAAGCGGTGACTGTCTGTCCGTCCGTCCGTCCGTCCGTCCGTCCGTCTGTGCACACGATAACTCGAGTAAAAATTGAGATATCTTAACGAAACTTGGTACGTGGACTTCTTTTGGGCATAGGACGGATGGTATTGAAAATGGGCGAAATCGGACAATAACCACGCCTACCTCCCATATAACGGTAATTTTCAGAAATACGAAAAGTGCGATATTTTAGTAACTACTGAAGATAATTCACTCAAAATTGATATTTACAATGAGTTTTAGACGAAAAATAAGAATATTAAAAAATTTTGGCAAATGGGCGTAGCCACGCCTACTTATGGTTACATGTGTATATCTTGGTAACCGCTGCACCAATTTCTTCCAAACTTGGCACAGTTGTTGGTCCTGCTACAACATACCAAATGGCCGAAAATTTTTAAAATCGGACAATAACCACGCCCACATCCCATATAACGGTAATTTAGAAAAATACGAAATCCTCGATAAATCAGTAAATATTAAAGCTAATTTATTCAAAATTGATGGTTGCAACAATTTTTTACCAAGAAATACGCTTATGATACAATTTTGGAAAATGGGCGTGGCACCGCCCACTTATGATCACATATATGTATCTCGCTAACCGTTCTAGCAATTTGAACCAAACTCGGTATGGTTATTGTGCTTGCCACATAAAAGCAAAGCGTTGAAAATTATTGAAATCGGACTAAAATTACGACCGCTTTTCATATAACGGTATATTTCAGAAATGCTTGAAACTGCAATATTTCGAAATTTAAGGACGCTAATTTACTTAAAATTTATACACCCCGGCTTATCGTGTAGCGGTAGCTTTCGGAAAGGTGGAAAACATATATTTAATAATTGCGCCGGGTATTTAATGTTCGGCTCCGCCCGAACTTAGACTTTCTTACTTGTTAGTCCCTCTATTTACTTCATTTAATTTGGTTTACGAGCGCACCCAGGCGCGAACTGTTGCCCAGTCCCGTCAGTGCTGCCCTTATCGCGTTACGCATTATGTTTTTACTATCGGCTGCTATCTATAAAGGCTGCTATATATTTTTTACAGTATTAGTTTCTGCCAAATACAGTTCAGTCCAGTACTTATCTATAGCCTAAGCCTGGGGAACACCAGACAACTTTTGATAATTTCTAAGCCAGTGTCTTCAGACGTTGTCAACCGACAACCCCAACCTGCGAATGTGATTAGCAAATTTAATATGACCAGTCAAGTTAAAATAAATAAAACCTCTACAGTTGAGTGCACAGATTTAGATATAATCTGGAAAATATAAAAATTTCATACTGGGGTTAGGACTTATTTGTTGATATGCATTTTAACTTAAACTGTAGATATCCCAAGTGTCGGTTTAGATCCTATTAGTAGCCCTTTAGAGCCTTGCCTAGTAAATTTGTCAGCCAGCTCGTTCCCTAATACGCCTTTAAGCCCAGGTTACCAGGTTAGGCTATCAATATTTATAAAACCAAAAGTTTTTTATATCGTATTTACATTCATCAACAGTACCAGAGTACACAGTAGGTTTAGAAATAGCTTTCAGTGTAGCTTGGCTATCACTGTATGGGTAAAACTTTTTATTCACACATCTGTTTTGCCGTAAGTACTGCAAACAGCTCCACTCTGAAGGGCAATAGCGTACCACCTAAGTAACTTAACTTTCATATAGTAGCTGTAAAAAGGCAAAAAAAAAAAATGATAGCGCTAATTCATAATCCTTACCCAAGCATAAACGCTTAGTTAGACATTAACAGACACCTATTCGTGTACTCACACTTAATTACGAAAATTTAAGCCTTTATTTTTAATCGCCAAATGATTTCCCTCTATTCATAAACTTCATTTCATACACAAATTTACATTATAGTTACCAATACATTAACTACTTGCACTTGCATATATTTCATTTTTTTTCGATAATCTTTTGATAAAACTAACTAGAAATGTAGTAATTAATCACTATTGGCATGAAAGCTTCAGTTCCCATTTGTACTGTATGTATGTAGTTGCAATAATTTTATCAATATTCATACATACTCTTAGCTTCATAGTGTGCCATATACATGAGTAATATATATTTCATGTTAGTCACAATTTATTTAACCATTATTATCCGCACAAATAAATTATTATAAAATTTAGTGGCTCTTTTGACAACTTCCTACTAATTTGAATAATTGCAAATTCCCAAAAACTAAATTGCTTGGTTGTCTATTAGGCAAGTCATGGCCGAATTTTGCCCAAATAGCAATTAATTTAAGTGCAATAATGTACAAATATATGTAAATACATATGCACAAACAACTATCTACAAACTGTAAACTAATATGTAATCGGGCATAAAATGCCAAATATTAGATTTATGTTTTTGTTTAATACAAAATTATTTGCTTATACTATATACTACATACACAAAGGTATTGTACATATTTTGAGATATGAAATATAAATGCACATACACACATACGGATTTAATAATCCAAAACTAGCTGCCAGCCTAGAGGTGTTAATCTCAGATTTCACCTATTATTTTGCTCATTACACTTCCACTCGGAGCTTTTGACTTTACTGTGGCAAAGCTAACTGCGCACGCCAGTGTATTCTCTCACTCCAACAGTCAAAAGTCCACAAACCTTTCGCAAAGTCTTTTTCTCCAAATTTCTGTGGCACTTACACAGCTTCCGACAGACACTTCCGTCTCACTCTCCTATTTACAGGCGTTTTTAGATCCAGATTTAGATTTAATGAATGCAACAAAAACAAGGGACACCGCTACCTTGAAGATAGTTCCCAACCCTGACGGCCCAAGATATTATCAGCCGCCCTAATAAAATCTATCAGAGTCTCGGTAGACGAATTCCTGTTATCCAGCATAGTTATACCTACCGTCTTCCTTGCTGTCAAGAATTGGAGAGTGTGAAAGCACTCCTTGACAAGCCTAGAGGTGATCGACATATTAAATGGCCGCCTGACGGTCTGAAAAGATTGCTAGAAAACCGACGTCCAAACCCCATTTCCAAGTTCTCTCTGGCACAAGTTGAGATAGTAATGCCCCGGTCTAAAGGACCGTAGACCAAATACCCGTTACCGAAGGTTAGACTAATTCTTTGTCTTAATAGAGAATCCACCAGTGAGCTCTATATAATTTTGAATCCTTGCGATTAATTTTCGCTGTCAGTAACCTCACACAGTGAATACCCTTTATTTACTGTTTGGTCCGACGGAAGTAATTTACGTAAAATGGACCACACCACTGAATCAGATTGAGATCAATACTATAAGGAAAGAATAAGTCATCTAGTTACCGCGACTACGGGAGATCCATTGCAAGAGCCCGCTATTTTGTAACATGTCTTATTTTATTCTCGAGGTCCCTTGGCTGAATGCTTTTTGGCAACTTTTGGACTTAACAGCAGCACATAATGTGCTCTGCTGTTTTCTGTTCCTTGCGACACAACCTGCGCCGGCCAGCTACCAAGTTTGATAAGTGAAGGAGTCTTTCGGTCTTTATTTTTGATATTTTCTAGTTGAAGGGTTTAGCCTGGCTATTACCTTCATAAATTCTATTGTCGCGTTGCCCTTTCTTTTTCGTGCACATACTTACATATGTATAATATTTTCGTTTAACGGACAGACCGATGAAGTGTCGCTTACAGCCCCTTTCCTGATGAGATAGACCCGGTTCCTTCAACATACGATGAGTATTAAAAGCTTAAGGCCCCCGCACACTTGCCTTGAGGTGACCTCGTCTACATAGGCTTGTACTATAATAGACTCGGAAAAATAGAAAAAAGTGGTTCTAGATAGAAATTTTTTACTTTTAGTTTTTCTTTCATTCTTACATGCATTAATAAAAATAAAATGCTTCCTAATGCTTGGTTCGTTTAATCCTTTGTGAACTTTTCTGGAGATTTTTTAAAGATCAGCCTTGGAGGTTTCGTTACTTTTTGAGATTTTACGCAATTTTTTGAGGAACGTGTGCGTTTTTCGTGGTTTGTACGCCACTTTTCGGTAGTCTTCAGGTGGCACTGTTCATTTAGTCTCGGAATGATCCTGATATAGTCCTGTACGCAAATATGTACGCATTAAATTTTCGTGTACCTGGTACTCACGCCATTTTTATTGTTTTTTATCAGGGCCCATATATAATTATTATTTTTAAAAAAAAACACAATTTTGTTTGCAAAGTACTTTCGTAGTTTAAAATTCTTTTTAGACGCATGTTGTTGATATTATTGATAATTACCAGTATTTATGCCTTTCACGAAGGTCTATTGTTAAATAAAATATATGAAATTGGAAAAAATGTCATTGGTTTGCGAAAAATATATTCTCGACCTTTTCCAGCCTTTCACTTTGCATGGCTGATAAAAAAAATTCCTTTATTGAGTATAAACGAAGTGTGTTTTTAATCAGCGTTTACAAAATTTCAAATATGGCATCAATTTCTACATCAAATGGCACTCAATGATTAGAACAATGTAGATATTTAGGCTGAGAACATCACTAACCAATGCCTCGCGCAGTTATTTGTTAAGCTCATATGCCCCAACTAAAGGCGAATTCATACAAGGTGGTATCGGTAGAGCAAAACCTAATATTAAAGCAACAAATTATACGCACAAATTATACAACAATGTACAGCAAGCAAATAATTTTGACATCCAGAATCACCGAGGCGAAAATCTCAGCTTTGCTGGCAACACCAACTTGTATGAATTCGCCTTGCCCCAACTTAAATCAAGTCAGCTGCATACTGAGCTGATTTCCTATGTTACAAGAGTAGGTACTCTTTTCGGCCACTGTCATGCAGAAGGCACTCAAAAAATGTATCCCTTGTTAGAACTTCTAAACACTACGTTCGTTCTATATACTTTAAAACAATAGCAATTAATAGGCTATTTGAACTCACTGAATTTGGTTAAGCCCACTGACATCCATTTTGTTTCTTTTTTAGTTTTTGATTTAAGTAAACTTCATGAAAGGCTGAAATCTTTCGGCATAGTCGAATTTGTCAACTCATTTTTAATTATGTATGTATGTATCTCCAATAGATTACCCTCCTAATTACCACTATATTTAAGCTTTGCACTTTAAACTAAACAAAGAAAACTTTTTTCTACTCCCAATTTTATTCTACTCCCATCATATAGGAGGAATATTGATGATGATGAGACGACCGTGTGACCACATCATCAACAACAACAATATATGAACAATACAATAAATGAACATAAATTACAAATAATGCAAGCTGAAGTGTTGCAAACACAACAACAACTGTTCTTGACGCCACTGCCAATCACAGTGCAACAAAAAATACCAGTGCAACTTTGGAGAATCAATCAAAAAGTATTTAAAAGCGATGCAAACAAGCAACAGCAACAACAACAACAACAACATAAACAACAACAAGAACAAACACAACACTTTGCAACTATACGCCGTGTGCCATCACCGCACTACTACAGCGGCCGATGCCAGTGAAAATATCTATTGTTATAAAGTAGTAAGTAATATACATATGTATGTAAGTGCGAATATGTAAAAGAAAAATTACAAAAAACAAAAATATTTGTTAGGTTGAACTCTTTAGTGTATAAATACTATATATATGTAGTTATGACTGTATTTATATGTACAATGTGACAAAAATACTATACGCAAGTTGCAAATGTAACAAAAGGATACTCGAATAAGTAGTAGATTAGCTAAAGTACTAATTATTACATTGAAGAAAAGGATTACTGGGTATATAAGATGTAGAAAAAAGTAATGAAAAAGACAAACTGTAAAGCTTAGTAGTAAGAAATATAAAAAAGTATAACTACACGCGAGGTAAAACAAATTCGAATTGAATAGTAACAATATGAAAATATTTTTTTTATGAAAATTTTTGTTTTGGCCAAAGATCAATAGACCTCTTTTTTTTTGCTAAGTGTTGGAGGTGATGTATGTAATTCTCAACTAATCCAGCTTGCCCATCAAATAAGTCAAACCACGTAACGTACAGAATGAGAGGGAGAGACTGCATGTAATACGATGAATGAGCCGACGACTATGAGCAACAACAACAGCAACCATGGCGGTAATTGAGAGGGAGATGGTAAGCAGTGCTAATTGGTAGACTGTTCGGTGACTCCAGAAAAAGTCAGAATCGTTAAATATACTTTTAGGTATATTCTAGGTAATGCACTGTGGGTAATTCGATCGATTTTTGTGGCAAAAATTATTAAATTAAAAAAAAGATAATGATTGACAACTTTTGAATGCAGTTTTTTCCAAATATTTGAATAAAAGAAAAAAAATTGCCACTTAGTTATAAAAACTATTTAAATAGTGGCTAAATGTATTTCAATTGAAAACCTCAAAGGTCTTAATTTTCTAATTTGTCTGCTGAAATGATAAGAGGAGCAGCATTTTCAGCAACAAAACTTTAAACAGCCTGCTTCTCTTTATTGAGTTCTCCCTTCCAGTTGGTAAATGGACTACTGGCAGTTTGAAGAATATCCAAAAAAAAGACATTTTCTTAGAAATCACCAAAAATTTCAACACGAAATCTACGAATTAAACTCAAAACTCTTCACTTTTTATGTTTTTGATAGTCTTAACACGGCCAGATATGGCCAACCTTTTAAAAGCGTTTTTGAAATAAAATTAAAAAAAAAAATTAATTAATGGTCATGTCAGAAGCATGTCTTTTTCTCTCAAAACGAAATTTTCAAAATAAAATACCAGTTACAGATCAAAAGTACTTATGCTTTCTCCATAATCCAACGATCGAATCTAAACCAAATTAGCATGGGACCACCTTTGAGGTACAACCTTTCCTTTATTTAAAATAAGAATTATAGAAATCGGTTGACGTGGTGCAAAGTTATGCGGTAATATACATAAAAAAATAAATATTCCGACGAATTGATGACGTCGGTTAAAAATATATCCTTATATCCCAAAAACAAAACACAAAATCTGTTCCAGTATTTCACTCACAGGCAACGACTTTGACCACCTGCTAAGCAGTAAGTGCGAAGAACGTCAGTGTGCCACAACAAAGTTTCAAATTACTCAGTGCAATGGTGAGAGTATCGGCGAGAGTGGATCCTGTGGATCGTCGATTGGGGAGAATGTTGGCGAGCGGAGACTCCAGTGTATTCTTTTATGGATCAAATAGTGATTGCAGGTAACGGCGAGAGTATCACTAGAATAGCACTGTTGGATCTATCGGTAGACGCTGTTAGGTAGACCTATACATCGTCCTGTGGCTCTTGTCCACAATGGCGAATCTACGTAGGGCTACAGGCGCCAAGAGTACAGAGTTGCAAGGAGTGTTGGACCGCGCTCAAGGCAGCACTCCTCTTTCCTACAGAAGGTACATATACTAAATATATAACGCACCTGAAAAAGGGCAGACATAAACTTCATCTTTTTTTCTTAAAAGATATACTCTTTTATTAAAATTATTATGTTTCCCCAGTGGAAATTGCATTGAGATACCACTTTTCGAGTTGGAGACATGCCGAATACCTAGTTGAAAATTATTATTCCCGAAAAAGGACTATTTTGTGCGGCTGCATCTGCTAGACTATCTCCAAATTTTTCTGAAATCTGTGCTGATTTTTCAAATGTAAAGTAATTCCAAGTCAAACATTATAAATTAGAATTCCCAGCATATTAATCTCGTGGGGAAGCCTGCTTACCAACAGATAACACGGTGTTATTCTGATCATGAACTTTTTAGGTGTCCTAGTATAGGCCGTAGCGCCGATTGAGTAATTCACGAAAATTTAAAATTTTTCTAACACCCTCAAATTCTCAACTTATTCTTTAAAAAACATCTTTATGTATAAATTCGTTTCTACAACTAAACTAAATTTTACGAAAATAATACCAAATCCGCATTTATAGATAAGTTAAAATGGTATATACACTGACAATCAAAAGTAAGTGCATGGTGTTTTTTGCTAAATATTTGAAATTTTTTTTAAATTTGTTTAATTTTTCTAAGTTCTGTATAAAGCTTGAAAGTTTGATTTATATGGTTTTGATTAAGGCCAAAACCATTCTTTTATAAAAAAAATTACTACAATGTTTAACTTGAAAAAAAAAAAAATTGCAAGTAACTATATAACAAAAAACACCATGCACTCACTCTTGATCGCCAGTGTATGTAAATAGCGTAATTTTCTGTAAATTTATTAATATAAAAGTTTGATACAGATACGAGCATGCAACGCATCAAAAATGAACCTGAGTTAAAGTGTCTGCAACAACAAAGAACAAATAAAAATCACACCAACATATTTTCTCAATATATATTCAAGAAAAATGGTATATAAGTAAATGGTAGTTAAAAAAAATATTATAGCCCGAAAAAGTAAAAGAAAGCAAAATTAAAATAAACAAGCAGTTTACAAAGAAAAGTATTATTATAATATATATATTGAAAACAAAATAAATAAATTGCATCAAATGTTATCATACACAATTGCGAAAGGGAAGAAAAAATTGAGAACGTATGTACGTTTGGTACTTATTTACTCAGTTGCCATTTAGAAAGGATGCGATTTTTTTTACTGCCAATGGGCTCTCTCACCCACTAATTACGATTTAGTGTTCATTAGTATCCTTGAGTATAGATATTTTTTATGCAATGCATTTAGTTTTAGTATATAGTATATATATATTTTACTAAGAGTTAAAAATTAAATTTGAAATTAGGCTGATAAAAGTTTTGAAATGTTAATAAAAATAATTGTATGTATTAAACATACCAATATTAGGCTATATTTTCGTAATGCAGACTGAATATTTGTATGTCTAAATAGGTTATAAGGTATTACTATTTGTTTGCTATCGAGATTATTTCCGAGCGGAAAAAATTTAATTTCTTGAGCTTAATTTGAATATTTGTTCACGGCAAAACAAAACAATTGGCTGAGGAGAATACTCTTACACTGTCGTTATATCTAATTTTGTGAAATTGAATGCAGCCTTGAAATTCTTACTGTGAAAGCAACATTAAAGAGTAATGAGGTTTTCTGTCTTTGTTTTCTTTTTCATATATTGGTTAAAAAATTAACTCTTACCAGTACCTGCTGGTTACCGAGTTTTGCTAAAGATGCCAGTTTAAAATATTCTATCAAAATGTTGAACCGCAAATTTTACTAGGGGTCTTTGAAAACGAAAATTTTCTTCAGATAGGAGGAAGGATAATGATTTTTTCAACAAAAATAAGAAGCTTTAATACTTCAATTAGAAAAATGTGTGTTATTTGTTTAAAATTTTTAGGGTTGATGCATTTGGTTGATTAATACAATTTTAAAAACTTTACAGCACAAAAACAAAAGCAAATCGATTTAATATTTTTCCAAATATCTCGAGAATGGGGCGGGGAAAAATTTTGAAAACAAGCACACATCAATCTTCTCTATGAAAAGAAATAGTAAAAAAAATGTTTTCTTGAAAAATGTTAGTTTTTAAAAATATCCCATCACAAAACAAAATTGCAAAAATCACAATGGTAGCTCTGAGTATTGCGCAGTATTCACGTATAACTGACGTTAATTTTTTTTTAATTTTCTTTGAAAACGGTTTTGCGCATTTTCTTCCATAAGAAAAGAGTGCAAAAAGCCGTCAGCATAAAAAATATTAAAAATCAACGCAATTTTGCAGTAGCTTAGAACTTGCTCTTTGTTATACTAAAATTAAATTGGCTACAAAACTTCATAATCAAAAAAATTTTTAAAATTTGCGAATTTGTAATATACTCATTTTACTTAACTTCGGTGTAAAAAAAAAATTGATAACTCAATTATTGCGCAATTGCGTTGTAAGAAAAAAAAAATTTATTTGATTACCGTTTAAAAATGTTCGTTTTTAAATCAAGTGAAAAGTCTTAACAAAATGGATTTTCTCATTATACATACACTACGTATAATGGAAATATTCAAATCAAATACGCCCGTATTAAAATGAAGCATTTTCACTGCACCGATTCTTTATCATATGTAATCAAGAAAGCATATGTATACAAAGCATGCAAAGCGGTGACAACACATACATACATACATACATATGTACACACATGGTACGTCATCATGCACTAATCGCACGCTGTGATGTTGATTCAAACTCAACATTTGAAAACACATTTACATGTATGGCTGTAGTTGCCCTGCAGCAAAATTTAGGGACAGTCTGGCAAAGCGCTAGTTCCGCCCTACAAATTTCAGAACTGTCTCTGAACTACTGAAAAAGGGATGCAGAGTTGGACGGTTGAAACTCACATGTTGCTAGTTGCGCTGTCATCAATGTTACTCATCCTGGTCATGAGAAAGCTGACAAAAGATGCACAAATGTAATATACTATATTTTTTCGATTTTCTTAGACCCTAAAAGTAATAACAAACTGTTTTCGTTTATTTAATTTGTAATTCTCTACATAGTTTATGGGGCAACTGCTCAAATATTTCCAAAAAAGTCGTTATTGGTACATTAATGTAATTTTTATACATATCTACGTACGTACAAAATACGAATAAAATCATATAAACCATGTTTTAAAACTTTATACAAAACAAAGTTAAATTTAAAGATTTTTCGTCAAAATATTTGACCTTTTAATCAGATGTAAAAAAATTAGTAAAAGTGGTAAACAATCTTACTTTGAAATGGGAGTGCTATTGATATGAACGATAATGTACATACGTAAATGTATTGATTTTTTTTTAATTTCCAATGTTCTTCATTTTAAATATTTTTCGTTTAGT